AGTCCTACCTGGGGTGCCCACTGAGTCCTTGTCCCAAAATAAAAAACTAAAGGGGCTAAAGATGTAGCTCATACAATCCTTAGTACTCAGCCCCCTAAAGAGCCAAATCCCCATAGATAAGAGGTACATAGTTTTTGAATGGAGCAACGAAAAAGTTCTAGAAAAGATGGTGGTGGTTAGAAACATTGTTTCTGGACTTAATCCTACACTTAAAAAGTTAATTCGGGGGCTGGGGATTTAGCTCAGCGGCATAAGCGCCTGCCTTGCAAGCAGGCAGTCATGAGTTCAATCGCTGGTACCGATAAAAAGGAAAAAGACAAAAAAAAAAAAAGTTTATTTGGTAACTTTTTACATATATTTTACAATTGAAAATGTTAAGTTCCAAAACCATAAACTGTACACTTAAAATGGGTATGGTATTTGAATTAAATCTCAATAAAACTGTTTTTAAAAAGTTACACAAGGGGACTTCCGGGAGAACATGGCGGACAGACAACAGCAACTACCGGAGGCTCTCTGAAAGGCTCGGCTCAGAGGCCAGGAATGATGCGGACTAAGGAGACATGAACCGGTAGAGATATGCTCTGCTGACTCAGGAACGAACTGGGCTGAGAGAAACCAACTTGGAATGCAGTCCTGGTGCTAAAATAGGAACAGAAAAGACTCGGTGTGGAGGCTCGACCCCGCGCCATTGGAAACCGCAATTTGGGTTTCCCGCCACCCGGCGGCTGGCTGCCTCCACTGCGGCTCGGCAAGGAAAGACGCGCAGAAGCTCTGGGAACGGGAGTCTGCGAACGGAGTCGAAAACAGGATGGACAAGGGGGCGTGTGTACTGACTGGTGGCGAGGTGAGTGAGAGAAACTGACACTCTACCACAGTTTGACTCCAGTGGAGGACTTTCTGGGCTCGGGCAGTCCTGTAAGAGCAGGGCGCGGTGGCGACTCCAGCCACACATTCCCCTCTCGGACGGGATTGGTGAAAAGTGCCTGGCCTGCGTGACGCTGCGGGCGGACTCAGTAGGCTGGCCTAACCCAGATCCGAGAGCCTGACGGTGGCCCAGAGGAGCGACTGACTCCCGAGTAGGCTGCCTCCTCCGCAACTCCCTGGTGCGCAGCAGTGGGCGGGAACACCTAGCCAGCGTAATTTGATCAGGCTGTGGCTGACAGGCAGGGAAGCCGGGCCTCCTATGTAAGCTTGCATTTTATAAGGAACAGAAAATATGGGGAAGGGAAGCAACAAGAAAGGCTCCTCAGCCCCCAATTCTGAGAAACAGGCAATAGTGGACACCGCACCAATATACATTAAGCGCCATATAGAGAGCCTCATAGACCAATTCAGGAATGAGGTTATCAACGACCTGAAGCTAGAAGTATGCAGAATAGTTAGAGAAATGCTAAGCACCACCCAGGAAAAAACAGATGGTGGAATGGAAGAACAGAAAAAGAGGGGAGAATTGCTTGATGGAGAAAACAGAGAAAGCATAGAGTATGTGAAGCAGGTTCAAAGGGACTATCAAGAAATTAAGAAGTCTATCCAAGACTGGCATAACAGCTTGAAAGAAACTAAGGACAGACTATCTGAACTTCAGGGCAGACTTGTAATATGGGAGAATGAAATGAAAAACTTCTTAAAAATAACAAAGAAACAAACAGCAATAATACAAAGACAAGAAGATGATAAGAGGAGCCATAACTTAAGGATTAAGAACATAAAAGAAGAAGTAGGGACACAAACAAGTGAACTACAAAAGCTACTCACAGAAATAATCCAGGAGAATTTTCCTAATTTAGCAAAAGGTAAAGATACTCAGATGTATGAGGCATACAGGACCCCAGCTACCTACAACCCTAACAGAGAAACACCCAGGCATATAATAATAAAAATTCCAGAAATTCAATACAAGAACAGAATATTAAAAGCTGTAAGAGACAAGAAACAGACCACTTACAAGGGAACACCCATCAGAATTACAGCAGATTTCTCTGCACAAACCATCAAATCACGAAGAGCATGGGGGGAAATAATTCAAGCTTTGAAAGATAATAATCTCCAGCCAAGATTGAGATATCCTGCACAACTGTCCCTGGAAATTGATGGAAAAACAAGGTCCTTCCAGGATAAAGAGGAACTGGGGGAATTTGCAACCACCAATTCAACCCTACAGAAAGTATTGCAGGATATTCTAAAAAAAGAAAAATACAAAGAACCCAGAAATAGTGGCGGGGAGGCCACAATGAATGGAGCAGAGAACAAAATGAAGAAGACAAACTGACAGCTACTGACAGAAAAAGAGCTCAACAGAAATGAGACAGAGAAGATTGGATGATAGGAACAGCTATTTTGGAGAAAATGACATCTTAATAGGTAATACTGATTTAGTACCATCTTGTTTTGAAGTCTCATCTAGCTTTTGTTCTTCTGTCTCCAATGGTCTAAACAGGTTGTATCTTATTGGATTTTATTATGTACGATAGTATAAGCAAAAACCTTTTAAAGACAAGGAGAATATACAGAAACCATTGTTCATTTTCTGTTAGTCGATTCTAAATACTCTATAATGCTGTCATTCTCTTAAATGGTTTTACATTGTTTTGATATACTCAATGCTACAGTATACAAAGTTGTACTCAAGGACTTCAAGGAAAGAGTCAATATGGTAACTACTTTTGGGTCGGAATTATCTGGTGGTGAAACACTATTCTGCTTAAATGGTTATGTTTTGATCTGCCCTGTTTCGCTGTTATGCACTCTTTTTTCTCAATCTCCACCCCATTATTTACTTTTTTTATTTTTATCCATTTAATTAAAGGGAAAAAATAGCAGGATATAATATAGTAACCCACTTTGACTTTCTATTATCTCGATTTGAAGCCCTGTATTACTCTCACCATCTTGTTTTTGACTGAGGTTCCTCTATTCTGTTTTGCTGGATAGTATCAGGTTCGAAAGTTTAGGCATCAGCTGAGAAGATAATGAGATTCATTATAATGCCCATTCTCGTTGACTTTTATCTACTTTTGAAGACCTACAATGTCTCCAATGTTTTGGTTTTGTCGGTTTTGTTCTTTACTGTTTTGTTCAATTGTATTACAACTAATGATATAGGCAATTCTATTAGAGATAGCGGGAGGCATTATGGTAACCATTGTTGATCACCTTGTATTATGGTTTTATATTATCTATTATGTCCACCCTTTTGACTTGACCGATTCTGTTCTGTTATGTCACATTTGGTTTTACTCTCTTCCAAAAAAGCAATAAGAACCGTGGGAGCAATGAAACCCAAAATGTGTAATAGTCATTGTACAAAAGAGAGGAAAAGAAAGTGCTCTAAACTATATAACTGCATGTATATTTAAGTGTATAAGATAGAAAATGATATCACAGTTTTATTGGATCATTGAACAGAACTGTTTGCAGTATCATTGTTGGAATGTCCATTCTACAAGCTTTAATTTTGTGACTTGAACGATTATTTCTAAGATGACAATATGTAATCCATTAACTAGTGATTTCCTACTGCGCATTTTTTTCTTCTGTAAATATGTATAACTTGTACCCCTTCACTGTTTTTTTTTCTTTTCTCCTTAAATAAAAAATTAAAAAAAAAAAAAAAGTTAAACAAGACAGGCAACCTGGACTTCACACCTGATGGCTCTTTGACCTTTAGCAATTCCCTGTGTTCACTCAGTGTCTCATTTTTTACCATAAAACCATAGGTTATAAGGTTCCTGTGAGAATTAAATAACCTAACATGTATAAAACAGGCATTTTGTAATTGCTTATTAAATACAACAGATCGCAGTTAAGTGAGAGAATATAAATCCAAATGTTTGTGAATACAATAATGCCGTATTTTTATAAAACATGAATCCTGCATATCGTTAACATGATGTGCTGAAAGCCAATGCGGAGCTCATCACCCACGAATCTCATTTCAACCTGCTTTATTGCTATTCAAATGCTCGGTAACTCTTTTGAAGGGGTTAAGATTAGTTTTTGGGGTTAGTGATGATAATGAAATTTCTAAAACAGCTGTTAAGTTAAACAGAAGCAGACTACAATGACACACAAGAAAGATTAATTTTGGAAAGTGTCTTAGTACTTATAACAGCCTTAAAAATTACTTTAGTGATGAATTTACATTTTCATTAAAAGTCTAATTTTAGTTTAAGACAATTAACTTCAGAGACTTCCTGGGTTTAGGATGTTAGTTCAGTTGCTTACTACTAGCTCTGTGCCCATGAACAATTGGGCCTCAGGTTTTTTTCATCTGTAAGATGTGAATTAAAAGCAGTACCTAACTCAAACAACTGTTGGGATTCAATAAGCAAATTATTTAGAAGATAGTTAGAAAAATGCCTGGTGTTCAGTCAGAACTCAATGAACATAAGCAATTATTTTGACCAAATTTTAAGAAGGATATGTTATCATAACAGTATTAAATACTAAGATTTTCAACAGTCATTCTTTTAGAATATCAAAGTATAATTATGTTTCATGTATTCAAGTAGACTACTAAATTTGACCCTTTAAAATAAATATGTAATTTTTTTAGCTTTCTACGAAGTAATACAGTGACAAAAATTTAGCTAATGATTGAATACTTCACAAAAGATATACTACATCTGATTCTTGGATTCCTATACTAATGTAGCAATTCAATAGTTCTAGTCAAATAAATACTAGGACTCTTAATATTTTCCTTTAATGGTCTTTTAATACAGTTTGCCAGATAAATGACACATCGTACCTTCCAGATCCACTGCTCATTATGTACTTCCTCAATACATCTCTAACAAGTGCTTTTATGTAATTCGGTTTGATTCGGCTGTATTTAGGGTCGCTGTGAGCTGTATTTAAGAACCAGTACAGGCAGGCCGGGGATTTAGCTCAGTGGCACAAGTACTTACCTGGAAAGTGCAAGGTGGTGAGTTGGATCCCTGGTACCAAAAAAAGAACCAGTACAAATGCATTTCCTTTGACAGATAATTACTTACCAAATTTTCTCTTTCAATCCTTTGTTGCTCCCTCTGTCTGTTCAGAGCACTATGATATAACTTAGGGGGATGACCACTCAGTCTTTTGGGAATTGCACTTTTGTTTCCTGGTTTTTCAGCCTGTCTTGACAGTTCTTTTAAAAGTCTCTGATTTTCCCGATCAATCTGTCTCACCTCTTCTCTTGTGAAAGAGTAGTTTTTCCTAGGTACTACTGAAGGCTGATCAAAGTGATGTTTTTGTGGTTCCTTTTTATCTAATTGCAGAAAAGCTATAGAACAACAACAAAAAGTGAAAACAGCTAAACATAGTAACTCTAATGGTAACATGCTTTAACCCTTAAAAATATAAACTATATTAATTCATGAAAGAGTATGTATGAAATAATGCTGATGACTTTCAGATTACAATTGTATAGGAAAAAAAACATGGTTTAGAGTTTTATGCTTAAAAGTAGCACAGAAAATAAAAAATAGCTGAAATAATAAAGGTATGAGGTAATATACTTCTAATAGGTATAATTTATAGAAAATACTTTTATCATGTCTATGATTCCGTATGGCAGTTTAATAGCTGGGGAGTTTAGAAACTTCTGGATTGCTAGTATAATAATTTAGATAGTTTTTGTTAAAGACATACTTCAAAAAAAAATAACTCAGCAATGACTGAATTCAGCAATAGCAAAGAAACTGAATATTTTTAAACTACCAACCGTAAAATATACAAGCTTTATGGATCATAATATTATCATTAAAACAAATATCCCTATTGTAAAAATCAATTTTTTTCTTAAATATAACATAGATACATTATATAAAAGGGTATTTTAAACCAAGAAAAAGTTTACATACTATAAATGAGTATCATACTATAAGTACTTGCATACTATAAGTGAATATTTATCAAAATGCTCAAGTTCTTATTTCTATATTATAATGATTTTCAGTAAGCACTTGGGAAAAGCCTCTAAAAACACACAACTTGCTGAATGTTTCCAGTTCAGTATGTACCAACATACTGAATACACTGTATCAGATTAACAAAAAGGCACACTGATTTTGTTTCGGGTGTTATATACTAGTTTTAGAAGTAATTATTATTTGTTTTCCTTAAACTATCCTTCCCTCTCACCGCTACCCACCACCCCCAACTTGATGTTACTGGAGACTGAACCCAAACCTTTGAATTTTGCAACATCCCCAGTCCTTTTTATTTCTTATTTTGAGACAAGGTCTTGCTACATTTCTGGTGCTGGGGTCAAACTTGCAATCTTCTTGCCACAGTCTCCCAGGATTATAAACCCATGTCACCGTACTTGGCTTCCCTGGATTATCTTTGTTATTTCTTTTACATACTTGGCATTTTACACTGTTACAAGTATGGTACTATAAAGTGAAGGGGTATTTTTAACCCACAATTAAAAACAGGTACAGTTGCATAAAAGTTAAATCATCTGGAGAAGGCAACAGAAATAGTAATTTAAATTACCCACTTGTTTTTTTTTGGTCTTTTTCATTTTTATCGGTACCAGGGATCGAACTCACGATTGCCTGCTTGCAAGGCAGGTGCATATGCCGCTGAGCTAAATCCCCAGCCCCAACCTACCCACATTTAATTCTAAAACTAACCAAGATTACAAAAATTACAATAAACATACACACTCTATAGGAAAAACGAAGAAATTAATGAGAATACATTTAGAAAGATACAGATGCGCTGTGTATATGAAATTATCTTGCTTCTAAGAGACAATTTCGTAGAATAAGGTTTCTAAGCATAATTTACTTATGTAGCAAACTCTTTAAAATGTAATTCTAAAGAAAACTGAGCTATTTTTCCTAAAGAAATTTTTACAGTTCTAAAACAGAGTAGCAAACTTTTAAAAAAGTTAATCTAACTCAGCTAAACACAAACACAAACCTAGCATTCAATAGCTCTCATTGTTGAAAATACATATATGGAATGCTTATATACTAATAGCAAGTATTACTATTATATTTTTTTAAAGTGGCTACATTGATACTCTTTAGCAAAATGCTATGTACGTTATATGTGTAATTGGCAATCAGAAATATATGACCCATGTTTTTTCCCAAAGATCATCTGAAAAATGATGCAACTTGAATAAACTTTCAGGGATACAGATGTATTTATATCCATATATTTAAATTTATATATCTAGAAATACTGCTTGTCCCTAATTATGCTTAGTGAAACAATTATGCCAAACTCTTCATAGATGCTTCAGTCTACTTTCATTAGTCACTTCATGAACCATTTAACATTTTTTACTAGAGAATCAGCTTTACTTTAAGTTAATAAAGTTAATATACACATAGTATTTTAAAAATGTGATACTTTTGTCCCAAATAAGTCTTTATTAATATTAGTTCTTTTAAAAAAATTCATCTTGAAGTCATATTACCCCTATTAAATAACAATGGCATGTGCTCTGTAAATTGTTTTTAAAGATTAAAAGTCCAACAGTTGTATCAAAGGTCATAATTCAAAGCAATAACTAAATTTACCAAATTTCTTTGCCTTCTTTATTAACAACTTGCTAGATGAGAAATTCTGTGACATTCTTCACGTTCCCTTCTTTTGAATTTGGGTAGGCAGGCTTGTAACTGCAGGGTACAGCCAAAATGATACATGACTTTCACAGCTAGGTAATAATAGGAGATGCAACCCCTCCCCACTCTGTTTGCTGGAAAACTGCTGCTTGGAGCACTGAGCCATCAGTCAGGTATGATCACCATGAGGCTGCCACACTGTGAAGAAGCCAACTCACACAAAGGGGCCAGGTACAGGCACTTTGATTCCAGTCATCTAAGACTGTCGCTTTACACAAGTTTTGTGGCAGTAACAGAGTAACAGTAAGTAAATAGTATAAGTAAAACAGTAAAAAAGTTAGCAAAACTTTGGTACCAGGAAGTAGAGTGTTACTGAAAAAAGCCTAAAATATATGGCACTAGCTGAAGACCTGGCAGCAAGTACTGCTGAAGATCCTGGAGAAAGAAGACTGCTGATGATGTGAGAGGACAGTGGCACACTGTTTAACAACATTGTTGACTGTGACGACAAGGAAAATGGCAAAAATTCCTTCTGCATTGATGGATCAAATAAAGACTGCCAACAGAACCACTGAATGTACTAATTTTCTTTCTTTCTTTCTTTTTTAAAGAACAGTCTTATTATATAGTTTAGGCTAGCTCTGAACTCATTATGTAGCCCAGCCTGGCCTCAAACTCAGTGATCCTCATGCCTCAACCTCCCAAGTACTGAGATTATGGCATGTGCCACCACAGCCAGCCTGAAAGTATTAATTTTATCAACAGTAAGAAGATAGAATAGAGAGAGAGGTTAAAAAAAATTCATCAGCTTTCAAGCAAAATTTATAAACAATACAAAACAGCCAGGACTTATGGGGTTTAGTATTAAAACTACTATTTGTCTCTCGTGTCTCCCAAGAGAAGATTCTCAAAACACTGGAAGAACTGTACCTGAAAATTCACCTGTGAGGAATCTCAGCTAGAGCTGATTTATGTCCTAGATCTTGAGGCTGGCGACATCTTTGGAAAAGGGGGAATACTGTTTTGAATATGGCAGGAACATAAGTAAATGAAGATCAGAAATAGGACAGAAGAGATATTAAGATGTCTACAAATTAACTGACATTCCTCCCATTATAAAGGCAGGATCTCCACTTTTAAACCTGGAAGCATTATGAGCATTTCAACCAATGATGTGTAAGGAATGATGCTATGTGACTTCAAAGGCTAGGTCACAAAAGGCAGTGAGATTCCTGTATTGTTTCCTGGAACGCTTATGCTTAGAACCTTGAGCTACTATGTAAGATACCCTGCAGCTGCCATAAGGAGGAAGCCAGGCCATGTGTGAAGAGGCCAGGCCACAAGGAGAGGCAGATCATATGTGGGCCTTCCTGTTAACAGCCCTCATCTTCCATTTGTCCTAATCTCAGGCACCTGACACGTGAGTAATTAAGCATTCATGTGATTCCAGTCCTAAGCCATGGGAGCCACCTCACTTTTTAATCTTTTAAGTGATGGTGTCATTTGTTATATAGAAAGAGTAACGATTTTATCACGTTTTAAATAAATATTGTGACAAGGGCTGGTGTTATGGTTTAGATTTAGAATGCCTCATGTGTTCAGAAGTCACTGGGGGTGTGACATGGGAGGGTAGATCTCCCTTCCCAGATCTTCCCTTCTCGCCCTGCTTCCTCATCACCATGATATGAACACTTGCCTCTGCCACACCCTTTCCCTATGCCCTTCCTGCCTTGCAGTCAGCAGCCTATGGACTGAATCCTCTAAAAACCAGGAATCAAAATAAACCTCTCCTCTAAGTTATGAGTATTGTGTCTAAGTGACTAGGACACCTGGGGATGTAGCTCAGTATTAGAGTGATGGGCGAGATTGCCTAAGGCTTTGGATTCAATCCACAAAGGAAGGAGAAGGAAGAGGGGGGGGGGGAACAAGGGGTTAGGAGAAAGGAGAGGAGGGTAAAAGAGGGAAGGGAAAAAAAAAAAAAAAAACCCAACACTGTCAGATAGAATACTTGTGGGACAAGAACTGCCCACAAGCAGAGAGTTAAGTTTTTCTGCTTTTTCATCTGATTATCAGTCTTCCTTGATGGTTAGACCTTCATCAATTTTACTGCCTGATTCTGCTTGCTCTTATCATAAGTTCAAAATCAATGACTGCTACATGTTTTTGGTATACCTGGCCCATTTACTAACAGAAACATCCTTGTATCTTCTCTTTAAGGACTTTCTGTATCTTAAATTCTATTTTGTATACCAGTAGAACCTGATACTTCTATTTGCTCCTTTTAAATGGAGATATATCTGGTGTATCTTTATTTAAGCTTTTACTTTTCATTTTTCCTATATCATTTTAAGTGTCTTTTTAGGTTGGATTTTGTTTTTGCTCTTTTCTTTTGGTATCTGAACACCTATATTAGCACAACAGAAGTCTTATCATAAAGAGCTAGTATTTCCTTTCTGTTTACTTTAATTATGGTAAAATACAAGGTGATTACCATCTTAACTTTATATACACAGTTCAGTGTGCTGTTATGTACCTTCAAAAGGTTCTGCAGCCATCACCATCAACTATCTCTGGAAAGCTGAAACGCTCTACCTATTGAAAGGGGAAAATCTCTATCTCCTCTTTCTCCAAGCCCTGGGAATCATAACTCTACTTTCTGTTTAATCAGAATTACCCTAAGAACCTTATATAAGTGGAATTATACAGTATTTGTCTGTTCTGAGAGTAGTTTATTTCACATAGCATAATTTCTTGGAGGTTCATTCACAGTGTAGCATATGTCACAACTTCCTTCATCTCTAAGGATACACAATATTCCTGGTTTTATTTTCAATACAGTGATAGTGTCTTCTGGTGAGTTTTAACTATTCATTTGGCTTTTTCCCCCCTTACAATCTTACATTTCTTCTTTTTTTCTCTCCTTATATTTAGAAAAAGTTCTTTTTAAAATTTTTTTCCTGTTTTAGAAGATTAAGTTAAAAAAATTTTCCTCCGAAAAAAGACAAAAAAAAATTTTTTTTCCTAAAATATTCTCTAAAGTTTTGAAGTACTTTAAATATTACACACATGTATTCTAGTTCCATTCTTCCAAAATTTCTTGAACTTTCTGGCCTCAAGATTCCTTTATACTTCTACAGGTTGAGGACCTCAAAAGAATAATTATATAGGTTACATAAATATATTGTTATTTACCATACTAGAAATTAAGAATTTAGATATTTATTCATTCATCTACAATAAACTGAGTATATAGTAATATAGAAATTTTATGAGACAAAAACATTAATGGATGGCTTTAATGGATGGCTTAAGAGAAGCCCTGTGGGTGTTCACAGCTGCTCCTGCACTGCTGTGCTGTCACTGTCAAATTACTCCACTTGTATCAGAAAATGTAAAAAGCAAGCCAAATTTAGAGATAGTCAAGGTTTTGTCTTTACAAATCCCCCTTAAAATCACTGAATTTGTTCCTGTAAGCTTTAAGTGTTACATTCTTTACCATGAGAGTAAGGCCTCTGATGACTTTTGCTTTTCTTAAAGGTTTGGTAGTTAGGATTGCTAAACCGATTTCAGGTCAGTCATTCCTTCACCCCGCCTCAGGTACATTGAGGTATATTCTCAGCCCTTTTTTCTTTTTAAAATTTGAGACACAGTGTCACTAAATTGCTCAATTACCCAGGCTGGGCTTGAACTTGCAACCCTCTTGCCTCAGCCTCCCACAATGTAGAGGTCACTGGTACATGCTGCAAAATGCCCAGCAGTATCCCTTTTCTTACAGGGTCTACCAGGCCCTGGGTCTTCCCCTTGCACAAGTCCCATCACTTCATGCTCTCCCATGCTGGTATCACCTTAGTAAAAAAATGCAATCAGGTTCCCTGCTCATCATGGCTTTCTCGGTTCCATTTCTTTCTTTTACACTTGTTTTTTTCTCCCAAAGCATCCGTTAGTGATTATTTCATACACAGCCTGTGTAGTACACTTTGAGACGACACATTTCTAACATCTCTATTTTTCCCTTTCAGATTCTCCCCAAGTGACTTGATATTGTATATACAAAGTATGAAATAAGACCTTCAAATTAATACTCTCCAATATAGAAGACTCATGCCATAACCTGATTTAAAACTTGTTTTCTATTCTTGTTTGATTTGAGACAGGGTCTACCTATGTAGCCTAGGCTGGCCTTGCATTACTAATCCTTCCTTTCTCAGGCCTCGGGTACTGGGATTACAGGCATGTGCCACCAGGCTTGGCGCTACTATTACAGATTTTAAGACCCTTTTTACCCATTCAAGAATTTATACAGCTCAAGGTTAAAGATCTAACTCCAAGCTTACTTTAACATTTACATAGCAAAGACAAGTTTGGAGTGGGCACGAGAAGCTCCCCAAGTCGGTCTCCCAAATGAGATAAAAGAGGCTAAATGTTTAGAAATATTACTAATATTTCAGGGTCTACTTTAAAATGATATATCTAACAATGACAATAAGCACTGATTTTCCTGTTTAGCAGTTCTCACAGAACCCTAGAACTCTGAATTTAGAATAGACCTTAGCAATGTACATCAATTTCATCTACAAATGAAGTAATTAACTGGCTTGCTTTTATACCCAGAAGTCTCCCCATCTTGCTATATAAGTACCAACTCAGCATTGTTTATTCCATGGTCTCTGTTGCTATGTTCAATTTTATATTGTTTTATTAATCTTCATTTCATATGCTTAATGTTTTATAGTCCAAATTTATATTTAATGAAAGTTCTTTTAAACCAGTAAATGTTAACACTGTTAGCTACATAAGCATCCCTCACTATCTGAATTCTTACCTAATATCCACTACAAAACTTATGAAATTTTTACTCACTCAAACTCACTGCCAGAATCAATGAATTTTTTTCTTTTCTTTTCTTTCTTCTTTTTAGGTACTGAGGATCGAACCCATGACTTGCACTTGCCAGGCAAACACTTAACGCCACTGAGGTAAATCCCCGGCCCAGAATCAATAAACGTTTTAGATGTATCTCTGTATATAATGCAGTAAAAATGTCCCAATTCAGAAAATGCAGACTACACCTGCTTTCTTGCCTCAGTTTTTCTCTAACAGGATCACAAACTGTCCTCAAAAAATTTTAAATGTGTTATACATTGTCATTATCATCTTCCCAACATTAAGTGAATGTATCTTCCAAGTAAATGAGGATTATGAAAAAAATGTAAGCCAATGGGGGCCTAGAAAAAAACTAGTCATTAGAAGCTGGAAGAGATAAACATAAGCCTGGCTGTGTAATCACTTCTATCATCACGGATTAGTTACATGGGAGAAAACAAGAAAAATTTATGAAAACATTCTTGGATCTGAAAAAAGCCAATGTATAAATGGAAAATAAATAATGATTTTTTTAAATATATAGATATAATCCTTAAAGTAGTGGACCAATAGTCAGAATTAATGTTTAATATATTTTATTATGAAGAATCCTTCGCAGATTGTCAAATTATGGATTCCAATGTCAGACACAGCAATTGGCAAAATGCCACCTTTGTCCTTGTGCCTTAAAAAGCCCCGGGCACCATTTACTGACAAGTGTCTCAGAACAGGGCTCTCCACTGTGCTGTAGTATGAATGAACCTTGCTTATACATTTCAGCATGCCTCTGTGTTGCCAGTTTTCCAATGTATTTTAATTATAAATTGAGAAACTGGGATATGATTAATACGTTTCCTATTTAAGACTTAAAAGTACACAGATTTGCTATATCTGACTAAACTTCAGAAACTGACTAGAAATGAATACTAAGAAACATCTGTATTTATTTTAAATAGAACAAAGTAATTTAGCATCATAATATACAGAGCATGGCTTTTAGGATTATTTCTAACAACTGAGTGCTGGTTAGAAATGCAGCTGTTTGTGCTTGCTTTGGCAGCACATACATTAAAATTGGAACAATACAGAGAAGATTAGCATGGCCCCTGCACAAGGATAGCATATAAATTCATAAAGCTTTCCATATTAAGAAAAAAAGAAATGCAGCTGTTTGAAGATAACAATAACAACAACAACAAAAAAGTCAGGCATGTGGCTCATGTCTATAATCCCAGCATCCGGGAGGCTGAGGCAGAAGGATTGTTGTGAGTTCAAGACCAGCCTGGGCTACAAAGTGAGCTCAAGGCCAGCCTGAACTGCATAGTGAGACACTGTCCCAAAAAGACAAAAAAAGATAAAAAAGAAAAGAAAAAAAAGCAGTGTAGCTGTTTGGGCTCTATTCTAGTTTTACTAAATAAGAATCTGCTTTTTTTTTTTTTTTTTTTTTTTTGGCTTTTTGGCTTTTTTCATTTTTTACCGGTACCAGGGATCAAACACACGACTGCTTGCTTTTGAGGCAGGCGCTTATGCCGCTGAGCTAAATCCCCAGCCCCAAGAATCTGCATTTTAAGATGCCAGAATAACTTACATGCATATTAAAGTCTAGAAAGCTCTGACGGACAGTTAACTTGCCATTAACTAATGTTCCTGCTTCTGACTCCCATCCTTAACTGTGGCCAGTTAAGGCCACTGGGGGGAATAACCTCATTCCCTCTGCCAATGACTGGTTCAGGAATGGACCATAACCCAATTCTATACGACACTAAGTGCAAACTGGCTGCATTCCAAGAGTCAGAGAAAGAGTCCGTTTCTCTTTGGACACTGTCATGTCTGAGGTAAGTAACGGAAATTATTGTGTGTGTTTCTAGGAGCCTGTGGGTAAAGACTGCACCATGGCTGGAAGAAGAGAGTACTAACCATTTTGGGTATAAGGTACTAAGTAAGTGTGAAGCTTCTAGTCCTAATTAGCTTTGCAATACAGTATGTTACCTAATAATGCAAATGATATTACAGATATTTTTATAGGAGAATACGTGGCAAAGTTACCAAAATATCAATGATTTCAAACAATAAAAGGTATCTACTACTACAAAAATCTGTGCAAATTCATAGCATTAAACACTTAAATATACAAAAAAACCCTTTTTTTTTTCAGAGAAAATCTCATTATACAGTTCAAGCTGGCCTCAAACTCCCAGTGATCCTCCTGCCTCAGTCTCCCGAGTGCTGGGACTAACAAGTGTGCACCATCACACCTGGCATACATACACATTTTTAAAAAGTAAATTACCTTTTAAAAGATGATTCAGGTCCATTGTGTCATGTAAGACTTTCTGCTTACACCTATGATCTGAATTGGAATCTACTGGTGACTTTGGGGTAAGACTAGACCCATGTTTTTCCTTCCCTTTCTTGGCTGTTTTCAAGTATTTTGAATCATTTTTTAAAACCTCGACATCTTCATAGACTCCTTGATTCACACTTTCCTGCCTTTTAACTTTTGCTTTTTGGTTACTTGACGTGCCTAGTTCAAAAGACTGAACAGGGCTGATGTCTGGAGTTGATAAAGGTGTCACATCTGTCACAGTATCTTCAGATTCCTCAGGGTAATCACCAATTTTTGGCTTAGAACTTGAAGGTTGTGTTCCTGTTGATTTTGTTCCTGATTTATACTTCTGTTTTGGTGATAAATGGGCTACTGAATGTTTCCTTGATGATGGACGTGAATGAGATTTAGAGGTATCAGGTCCTGTATCGGAACAGTCTGTACCTAAACTTGAAGATGAGGAAGATAACGAAGAAGAGGAAGAACTAACTTTGGAGTATTTTTTATTCATGCTTTTTTTAAAGTTATGAGATGGTTTAGCTGACTTGGTCCTCACATGATGCTTTTTTCCATCATCACTGCTTTCCTCTCCGTCTGTGTAGTAATTATCCTCACCTTCTTTTACAATTCTGGGAATTCTATTTGGAATGGGCAAATGTATTTTATGTCCTGCTGTAGCATCACACAATTCTTCTGATCTTGAATTGGTCAATGATAAAGAACTTCTGGTTTCTGTATCATTCTCTACAGGGTATTCATCTAGAAGATTTTTCACTTTTCTTTCATTTCCCTTGTCAGTAAGATAATTTTCCTTTGTTTGTACCCCAAATGTCAAGCTCACATTTTCTATATCCTCATCTATTCTCTCTTTAGAATCATCATTTTGCTTGTCAAATGCTAAGTTATTTTCACATTTCTTTGCTTCTTCAAAGTCACTATCGAAGAAAGAATGGTCCACTTCACCATCTGACATGTCTTCAAACCGATCCATGATGTCAAAAATGTGTCTGAAAAAGAGTAAAATGTAAATATAAGATTAAAAATAATTTCCAAAAGCTGTTTTTGTTAATATAGTGTTACATAATTTTCCCAAACCAAGAAATCTGGTTGATATAAAGAGAAACATTATAAAACAAAACAAAAAAAAATAGTAAAGTGATGACAGAATCTAGGGGTACTATCAATTTACACCAACCTGACAAGTTCAAAGAAAATTATAGATCATAAAGGGAGGCATGGGCTGGGGATTTAGATCAGTACCTCTAGTGCTTGCCTGGTAAGCACAAGGTCATGAGTTTGATCCCTGGGACCAAAAAAACAAAACAAAACAAAATCATAAAGGCAGGCATATCACAAACTTGGGTATCTAGGTGAATCATAAAATAAACCAGCCTTCTATAAAGACAGTTTAGAAAAAGAAAGGATGGTACTAAAACCTGGTAAGAGCAGCTAAGCCAGTCTAAATATTACTCTAATCCAAGTAGTACAATAAAGATTGACAGATTTCCATATTTAAGCACTTGTTGTCTTTGCCCTATTCTGTTCCTTCACTACAGTTATCAAGGAAACAGAAAATAAAACATTATCCCTATTAACTGTAAAGCCTCTGCCAAGCAACAGTGGTACATTCCTATAACATTGGCTACTCAGAAAACTGAAACAGGAGATCACAGGTTTGAGCTCAATCTGGGCAATCTAGTGAGACAGGATCTCAAAATGAAAAAGCAAAAAGGGTTGGGGATGTGGCTCAGTGGTAGAATCAATTTTGAGTACTGGGAAAAAGAGAAGCAGCAGCAGAAGCAGTAGAAAGACATCATCCTGGCCCTTTTTATTGAGTAATAAACCTAAGGTACACACACAAAGTAGCTTGGAGTCAAATTTCTAATTATTTAATCACCAGCTCCATTTTTGGGTGTAAATGCTGGGGCTGATTGACTTGGTAACTCATCTGTGCAAACAGATAACCCCCAGGTACTGGATTCACCAAACTTACTCAACACCACCTCCCAACCATACAACATATTAAGTGGCAAACCAAGAAATAAATTAATAATCGTAATAAAAATTACCTGTAAACTCAACAAGTCAGAGACATGGATACTACATGACGTATCAAGGCCACATCCCAGAAAAGCAGGCCTGTGAGCTTTTTATATCTACCAGGCCAACAACTAGTGCAACTCCCTCACTTGGACCCAAAGAAAGGGTACCCAACAATATGGGTACAAGGATAACACATCATCTCATCAGACTACCTGCCAGTTGAATCACAAAGTTGGCAGGTGCGGACTCTGGCTTTCTGCTGCCAGGCCTCAACTCTACTCCATCTCCATGCTTGATACAGCCCAGTCAAACTGTCTGCTGTTTAGACTTGGGCTCTGAACCAACTCTGTCCTCTCAACAAGTCCTGTGTAGACCCTGGCACTTCAACCTGGTCTGTAATCTTACCCGGGGCTGTAATCATCTGTGGGCTGCTAGCCTTCTATAACCTATACATTACTGTATGACATGTGATGTATGACTTCAGTGTGACATATACTACAATTACAATAAAACTTGCAAATGTTTATCACACTTGCTATCAAGTAAAACCTAGTACTCAACAAGATACAGCTAACAAAATTGAATAGTTCGTGAATTTATTATTCAGTACAGTCTGGAGGTGGAGTTAGGAGAATCAAGTTCAAGCACTGAACAATTTAGCACTGAGCAATAATAAAGAGAAAATATATATAAAATTAAAATAGTAATTCTGTGGAAAGCCATGAGTCCACAATGACACATAAGAGGCACAAGTAATATCTAGTATGTTAAAGAAAAAGTATATATATATAAATATATATATAAATGTTTACAATTATTTGTAGCCAACAATGCAATTCTGTGCTCTCTCTATTCAATTTATGACTAACTCCATCATATTAAATCAGGCAATAAAAGATTATGTAATGCATACCCTAACAGCCAGCATATTTTGCAGCCTTTAGTTGTTTAAGTGACTCTCCAACCTAAGGGAAGACATAAAAACAAGTATAGCTATGATTTACAAATAAAGCAAATTTCTATTACTATGTGATATGTTAACATATGTGTTACATATGTTAAGCATATGTAGTAATACATTTCATCATCATTAGATAAATTTTGTCTGCCTTTAAAGATCTGAAGACTAGAAATTTACATGTATTAGCCTTGTACATTTGTAATTATTTTACACGGTTCCAATCAAACCCAGGGCTTCAAGTAAACAAGGCAAGTACTCTATTGTTGAGCTACATCCCCAGCTCTATATTATGTAAATTTAACTGTAATCTTTTAAATGCTTGAGAATCTGGTTGGCTAAATTGGTAAGTTTAGATTTACTTGGTTTATAAACATATCTTGGTACACAGGAATATTTTCTGTGTTAGATCTATACATGCTCCTTTTTAGGTGTTTGAAGTATTTAAGAAAATTAAAATACAAAGCCAGGTGTGGTGGCACATGCCTATAATCCCAGCATTCAGGAGGCTGAGAAGCAAGAGGATTTTTGTGAGTTTAAGACCAGCCTGGGCTACAACGTGAGCTCAAGGCCAGCCTGAACTCCATAGCAAAGCCAAAAAAAGGAGGTTGTGATGGTATATACAATGTTCAGTGAAATTTAATATATTTTATAAACTAAGTGAAGACTAAAGTACAAATGAGTTTCAAAATTTTAACATAAAATTAGATTTAAATGGAAATATTACAACTGTGTAATAGTCATGCATTTGAAACAATCTCAGTGTCTACTAAAAGGACATGGATAAATAAAATATTGTATAAGCATATGCAGTATCAGAAAAAATGGTAAGCTGAGAGCTACAGAAATAATGTTGACTAAGTAGAATTAAATGAGCAACAACATATTTTAATTGTATAAAACTTAAAACATACACAAAGCAATGCTACGCATTCTTCCTGAGCATAGACATAAAAAATTACAAAGCATAGATTAGAAAGACAGACCTGAAAAAGCTAAGAATCTAACTTTATGATAAGGGAAAAGGATAAGTTGGGGGAAAATAGACTGAAACAGGGACCTTTAATCATGGGTCATCACGAACCTAAAGACTATGATCATTACCAATTTCTGTTCACTCAAGTTCATAAAGAAAAACAAAGCAAATCTAAACAGCCTCTGACTGGACACTTTTCATAACACCCCCAACATACCATTAAACACCCCCAAAGGTTATCTTTATTGGTAAGATAATTTACCTTTAAAAATAAAACGTAAAGTTCTGAAATAATGGAGTCATGGTTATTGTTTATTCCTTCCTCACTCTGACATGGTTAAGACATCCTTGCAGTTAAAAGCTTTTATCTGTTTCTTCAAATTTCAAAAAAAAATGGTTTCAACAGATAACCCAGAATAAACTGCGGATCACAATCCAATGTAAAATGAATTTAAATCTTTAAAGAATACAGGGAAATAATCAAATGTATTATTTATGAGGAGGTAACGTTTCACTAAATACAGTATGTATACTGTACTAGGTCTTACTGTAAAACCTTTTTTGAAGCTTCCAGGTTTGAAATGTCACTGGTCTAAAGACAGGAAACTGTAACCAAATGGCACTATACTACAATATAGGCAAGAAAATGGAATGAACGTTTAAACTTTGAGTGATACTAAAGACAGTTTCAGCAGTTTCAAGTGTCTTGGCCGCTATTACATTGTGTAGGACAACTCTGCTTTGTTAATGCGTTGAGGTAACATTGGACTAGATCAGGAAATAATTTAGGAAGCACTGTAATTTTTTTTTTTGAAGCACTGTAATTTCAAGTGCAAATACAGAAGGGGATGTTTTCTTAAAATCTGAAGAAACTGAAAACAAAATTATAAAATTATTAAAAAAAAAGATGACTATAGGGTAAAGATGAGTTCTTAAGCAGAAAGAACAATTTTAAAGTCATGATAGTTATAAATTTTTATTAAGGGTTTGCTCAGATTTAGTATATCTTCAGATAAATATCAGTGACTATTTCAATGAGTATTTACACTTGATTTTACTGGGCCATACATTGATAGAAAAGCTTATATTTCCCTAGTATTTGGGGGGGGGGGATCAAACTCACAACCTTGTGCTTGCCAGGCAGGCACTTATGCCACTGAGCTAAATTCCCAGTTCTTTCCTAGTATTTTTAACCTTCTAAAAAATGAACTAAAAAAAATCAATGAGTCAATCATCCAGATTATTCCAGTCCCACTCCTCAAATTATTTAAATTGGAAGCAAATAAAACTTACTAGCATAAGCAAACTTCCTTTGTATTACTGCTATTATTCTATCACTAACAATTAAATGTATTTACTACATGCTAGCAATGCTCCTTGTACAACCTTAAGACATTTTATCATACCAATTTACCAGTAAGAAACTGAAGAATAACAACTTGTACAAAATTACACAGTAACGACCACATTCAGGATTCTAAAGCAAGGATATTTAGATTATATTATTTATTACTGTACTATTCCGCTTCCATAAGATTAAAAACTAAGGTTTTCTTTTTTGCTTTCATTCTATTTTATCTATGATTTCTTTAATGGAAAAAGTGGGCAAGATAAGACCTTTCCATCACAGGGATTTTTTCTAAGGACAACAGGACCTGATGAGCAAAATCTGTTGTTAAACGGATGATTTGTATAGTTAAAATTAAATACACATTCTAGTGTTTCCCATTCATCTTGCTGAATATATTTATCATGCAGAAGTTTTCCTCTATCAAAGTAAACTGGAATAAACCTTAGCAGAATAAACTAAATAAACTGGTAGCTCTAGCCTTAAACTCTGAATTAACTAGTGGATCACACTATTTCAAACTGTGACCAAACTCCCTTTTCAAAGAAGGTAGTAGAATTCTGAAGATATTTCTGGCAAGGATCTGACAATTCTGAAAGTGGTTAACTTTGAAAATTTCCAGCATATATATATGCGTGTGCGTGTGCGTGTGCGTGTGTGTGTGTGTGTGTGTGTGTAAGCAAATTACTCTTATTAGCAATTTCTAGCAACTTGAAATGTTGGAATTCATGCTCTTCCTAATCCCTACTCTCACAGTTCCCCAAGAGTCAACTCTGAAAGGATTTTACATCTCTCCCAATGACAAATTTTAGGTGTCAGGATCACTAAATTAAGGAATACCTACAGAATTGGTAAGTTCCTAACACATCCCTTACCTTAAGAATGAAGAAATCAAGGCTTAACAAATAAATAAAAGTGATTTAACTGCTTTAAACTGTTAGTTTGAAATTGAAACATTTTGGATTAAGGAATGCTCAACCTTAACAGAATATAAGCTACAGGAAGGTGAAGAGGTAAATTATAGTGAAGATCTCAGCTTAAAAAGAGAGATCAGGGCTGGAGATTTAAGCTCAGTGGTATAAGTGCTTGCCTTGCAAGCACAAGGTCATGAGTTTAATCCTCGGTACAAAAAAAAAAAAAAGAAAGAAAAAGAAAGATCAGTGGAAAAAAAGCTGGATCCAGCAAGTGGCAAACTATAACACAGAAACCAAAATAGTCATATATTATACTGGGATAGGATTATATAGTATTAGACAAGTTCATTATATTTTGTGTAGTCAATTTTTTAAGAAGCATTTAATTCTAGGTAAAGAGTGTAGAATCTAAGTCATGATTAATGGTTTACAGAACAAGAGACCTGTAGCAACAAATAAAAGTAATGACTAAGGGAAAAGGAATGTTTGCATACTTTCATTTCAGGACCAAGACATTAAAAAAGATTTAAAATTTGCTACCTGTAGTTCCAAGGTAGAATCTGTATCAACAGATAGGATGCACAAAACAACTGTTCTAAGTTTAACTTAAGAGTTGCTCAAAAACAAACGGGCTACTTTCCAAGAAGATGAGCCTTCAGTCCCTAGACCTGCTGAAGCAAAGGTAAGATGACCACTTGCAAAAATAATTCCCACTTTCCTAGAGAACAGGATCTGTTTCAACCCCCAACTAGGTCTAAACCTCAAGATCTGTCCAGAAGCCATAGGAAACCCTCGTTTTTCATAGCTAACAGTTTCCTTCCTTGCTTTTGAAGGGGATCACAACATGCTACCCCAAATTATGCTATTTCAGCATTAGGATCTTTTAAAGCTGAGGGCAACTGAATACCAACAAATCAAAGGCCTCCCACAGCTTACTTTCTCAGAAAAAATGAAAACTGTCATAATTTCTCTTTCTCAGAGAAGGTTTCTGGCCTTGGAAAAGAAAGCTGGCACTGCGATAACTTAGCACAATCCTTCCTGAGACAGCTCTTACTTTCCATTAGTTCCCTTTTTTGTATCCTCTACAGGCCTAAAACCCTTTTTTCTTTGCTTGTTTTGTTTTCACACGTACTACTCTGTGTTTAAAATGATTCTACCTTGGGTATTAATACTTCTTTTCCAGGAAGGCCCCATGTCATAAAATGTGGCAGCCTTTTCCCCTATTCCCTCTATGTCTTGCCAATTTAATTTCTAGGAGCCCAGTTGCAGGACCTAGGAGGATCCAGAGGAAGAGGTTTTCTTCCCCCTCTACTACACCTCTCTCTTCACTAGACTGGTTAGAGGAGCCACCAGCTCTACAGTGCTTGGGAAGCTGAGATGGGAGGATCAGGAGCCCTGGAGTTCCAGACCTTTGGCAAAATAGCAAAACTTCTTTAAAAAAAAAAAAAAAAAATCAGGCTGGTAACGTAGCACTCTTGTAACTCTGGCACTCAAGGAGGCTGAAGCAAGAGGACAGCAGGTTTAACCTCAGACTGGGCAACGTAGAGCAATCAGGTCTCAAAAAATTATCTAGAGATGTAGGTAAGTATAAAGACCCCTTGGATCAATACCCAGTACTATTTTTGTTCATGAACACTCTGCCTATACCTTCAAGATTTCTACCTACTTTACCTTCCAGCAGATTTAGTGTTTCTGTTTTAATATTCAGATCTTTAATCCATTTTTCACAGGAAATACTTCCCAGAATCAACAACTGGGACCTTGTCTTATTAAAGTTTATGCATGTCAAAAGAAATCTCCAACAGAGTGAAAAGAAAACTCACAAATTGGGTCTTAGCCAACTGTCTCTCAGGAAAAGAACTTCTATCTTTAACACATAAAGAATTAAAAAAAAAAACAAGTCCCCAAAATTCAAAGACCCAATCCAAAAATGGGCATCTGAGATGAATATACACTTCTCCACTGGGAAAATAAATATATTTAAAAATGTTCAGAATCATTGGTCATTAGAGAAATGCAAATTCCATCTCACTTCACAAAGAATGGCCAAAATCAAGAAATCAGTAACAAATGCTAGTGGGGCTGTGGAGAAAAAGGAACCCTTCTCCATTGCTGGGTGGAGTGTAGGCTGGTGCAACCACTTAGAAATCAGTGTGGAAGTTCCTCAAAAAGCTAGGATTAGAGGTCCCATTTGACCCAGTACATAAGAATTGAAAACATCATACCACTGTGATATATGTGCATCCATGTTTATAGCAGCACAATTTGTAATAGCCAGATCTTGGAAACAACCTAAGTGCCCATCAACTGAGGAATGGATAAAAAAGGTGGTTTTTTTATACAGTGAAGTACTACTCAGCTATAAAAAGATGACATCGAGGCTTTTACAGGTAAATAGACACAATTTAAGACCATATTCACAGATGAAATAAATCAAACTCGCATGTGTAAATACCATATTGTCTCCCTAGTATAAGAAACTGAAAGAGCAAATAAGATCCGAAATCTATAATATTGCGTAAAAGTAAGAAATTGCTCAAAGGGCAAAAGTAACTGGGAGAGGGGAAAGGAGGAAAGAAGGAAGGGAAAAGGAAAAAGACAAAGTTGTATAAATATACGTAAGAAAGCTAAGATGACTATACTACTAATTCTATTCTTGGAAAAGAACAATTAATACTCCTTAGATAACTGCATGTCTATATCTGGTAATTTAAGCAACCCTTCTGAAGTTAACAATAGGCAATATAACAACCATTGTTAAATTCCTACCTTGTTTTGAAAGCCTATATTGTTATTGTTTGGGGTTTGTTGTTGTTAGTCTCTTCTGCTTTTTTTTTTTCTTTTTTCTCTTTAAAAAAAAAAAAATTCTCCCCTTACCACAGTGAAATGGTGGTGGTGAAGGGGATTCTTTACTACCCCGGGTGCTAATCCTTTGTACCCCAGGGCCTAGAGGAGGACCTGACAAGTTATTAAGTCATTTAAAGAATGTTTATCCCACAAGGTCTGGAGTTAGGAAAGGTGAGATCGAACCCTAGTTCTGGGCTGTTACTTATGTGGGCAGGAAAATCACCTTATTTTCAGTTTAGCTTTCTGACAGTTTCCCTGCCTTTTCCCTCACTCCCTTCAGATATACAGCAGATACTCTTGTAAGCCATCTGCTTCCGAGTGGTCACAGTTCAATAAAAGTGCACTGCCTACTGTCTGGAAAACGTCAGGTTTACATTTAGATCCACAGTGTCTGACAAATAAGGCTATTGTTAGGATTTTCAAGTGATTTAGTGCACAGGAAAATGTACCCAATAATTCCATTCACTAAATTCGCTAGTAACACTTCAAAATTAATTAAATTTACAGTACACAATAAGAACAATGTAGCTTCACAAGATTCTCTTTACAATACAATGGGAAGGGGTAAAATTAAATGACAATTCATTGGATCATAACCCTCTGGTGCTCCATCAAGGTGAATTTTTGCCAAGGTTTTTGAGTGTCTCTTTGACACCATTTGTGTACTCAGGAGATGCCAGCAATGGAAATACTAGAGCTTTCACAAGATATCACAAAAAAGTACAACAAAACTTTTTTTTTCAAACTGTCGTTTTGTTTCTGTGGCACTATATTTCGATAATATATAACAGTATCCCAAAAAGATACTCAGGTTGGGTAACAAAAATCTTGGCCCAATATAAAAATCTGTTATCAATGAATTTGAAGCTCCGTCCACGACCCGCTCCGACCTTGAGAGGAAGCAGAGCCGCCTAAGCTCTCAGGATACGCGTTCAAGTCCGCGGAGGTAAGCACAGCAATCAGAACCTAAGCTCCGAAGGCGACAACTCACTTCGGAGGCGACCCCGGCCCGCGCCACCTCCAACACGTCCGGGGAAAGGTCCGCCATTCCCACCCGGACGGCTTTGTCATGGTTACACCCGCGGCCGCGACCAGGAGTGTGGGCCGACCTAAAGGCCGCGGACGGAGGGCGGGGACCGGCCCGGTACGCCTCCCGACCTCCCACGCAGGCTTCGCGATACCCACCCCAAATGCTAGCCGTTGCGCGGGTTCGGAGACCGCAAACGGATCCCGAACGGGTGGTAGGTTACGGCGGGCTCGCCGCCCACAGACACCTAGAGGGCAGAGTTCGCGCCACGCTCACCTGGGAACCGGGGCGTTCGCGGGCCCGGGCGCACGCACGCACGCACGCACGCAGACAGCTGCGCGCTCTCGCGGGCCCGCACAGGTCTCCCTGCAGAGTGCGCATGTGCATGAATCCCAGGCGTAGCCTTCCGGAAGCGTAGCCAGTTGAAAGGGTTAGCCGGAAGTGGGTGATGAGCGACCCTCGGCTGCATCTCAGAGCGCGGCTTTGAGAGGTACCCGACAGTGGGCTCCACCCCAGAGTGATGACAGAAGGAGGAAAAGGTTAAGGGAGCTGTTGCCCAGGACATGGTCAAAGTATTTCTGCTTCTTCCTATTATCCTGTGAGAAGAGTAGTTTTAGTTTTCGTGGATTATTTGTTCTAGTTGTCTTTGAAATTCGTTATTAAAGCCACAGTAATGAAAACGTAGGGCTATTGTATGGTGATTCACATCAGCAAAGTTCATTTGAAATTGTTTGTGATCATGATCTCCTGTGGACCAAGGGCTGCTAGCACATTAGAAAGTCTTTCTACTGGTAAAGGAGATGTAGTTAAAATAATCTAAGAGGAAAATGATCTGTGCTGAATATATCGAAGGCCTTAATTTCATGTTGCATTCAGGCACACTATAGGAGGTATAGAATAATGTTACGCCAAAAATATCCACCTTCTAATCTTGAAACACACACATATGTTACCTTGTCAAACGAATTTTTCAGATGTGATTAGGATAGAAATGGGAAAGTTAAATCTAAATTATCCAGTGAGCACAATATAATCACGAAAGCCCTTATAAGGAGATAGGGAAGAAGTTCAATCAGTAGGAGGCGCTCTGACACTAAAGCAGGTAAGAAGAGACAGTGATTCAAAGAATGCAAGCAGCCTCAGGAGGCTGAAGCGGGAATTTTCCCTTGAAGAAGGAACACAGGCTTGCAGATGCCTTGGTTTTAGATTTCTGACCTCTTAGAATCACAATCCAATAAATTTGTGCTGTCTTAAACTTCTAAGGTCATTTGTAATGGTGAAAATAGACTAATATACAAAAATGGGACACTCATATAGTAGGTACTCATGAAAATGTAAAGAAAGTACAGATTTAACCATATATTAGGGAATCCCACTAAAGAATTGTCTTTTTGTATTTCTTGGACCTAACTACCAACAAGTACAATACATGAAATCACTTATCTGTTCTTTTTGTTGTTAAAAGGATTTCACTCAGTTCTTGATGAAACCATGTGGGTTTCATTTAATTCCCAGGGATAGGAACCTTGTGGTCAAACATTTGCTACTCAAAGGACCTGAGTAGAAACTCCTCCAAAGAAGACATACAAGCCAGGTGTGGTGCAACATGCCTGTAATCCTAGCCACTGAGGAGGCTGAGGCAGGAGGATTGTCAGGAGTTCAAGGCCAGCCTGGGTTACATAATGAGTCAATGGCAGCCTGAAGTAGGTAGTAAGAGACTATCCAAAAAAAAAAAAAAAAACAAAGAAGATACACAAATGACTAACAGCACAAAAAAAGATACACAGCATCACTAAAATCAATATCAAACGTGGTGTCATTTCACCCCCATCAAGATGGCTATCAGAAAGATCCTCCCTGCAAAAATTAAGTAACAGAAAGTACAACAGTTGGGCAGGGATTTAGCTCAGCAGTTCACGTGCTTGCTTGATAAGTGCAAGGTTTCGAGATCAACACTCAGTACCAAAAAAAACCAAAAAACAAAACACCACAGATTGGCCAGAACAGGCAACAACTGGAACCCTTCTTGTGCACTCATTGTGGGAATGTAAAATACTGTGAAAAAGTATGTGACATTTCCTTGAAAACAGAGCATTATTGAGAATTACATAACCGAACAGTTCTACTGTGGGATACGCTCAAAACAACTGAAAACAGCATCTCAAACACATCTGTGTACCCTTATCCATAACAGCATTATTCACAATTGCTGAAAGATAGAAACAACCTAAGTCTCCCATCAACAGATGGATAAAATGCATGCACACACAAAATTGAATTTAATTGAAACTTAGGAATGAAATTTGATATATACTAAAATATGGATGAAATCTTAAAAGACATTAGATTAAGTGAAGTAAGCTGAACACAAAGGCACAAATATTGTACGTGTCCATATGTATGAGATTATCTAGAATAGGTTCACAGAAATAAAGCAGAATGATGGTTCCCAGAGTTTGAAGGGAGGAAAGAATGTGGAGTTGTTTGGTGGGTACAGAGGTTCAGTATGGATTGGTAGAAAAATTTCTGGAGATAGGTAGTGGTGATTGTTGTATAAGAAAATGAATGTACTTAATGTTGCTAGACCATAAATATAAAAAATGTTTAAAATGGCAAATGTTATGTATATTTTATAATAAAAAATAATTTTGAGGTTTATATCTTAAAATGATTTTGACTTTTATTGGTGTGATGAATTTGTCTCGTCCCTGGTGTCTTAGTCTTTTCAGGCTGCTATAACAAAATTCCATTGGCCTAGGAACTTATGAGTAATAGATATTTATTCGCATAGTTCTGGAGGCAGGGAAGCCCAAAATCAAAGTGTGAGCAGATAGGGTGTGTAGTGACAGCCTGGTTCTTGGCTCAAAGACGGTTCCTTTATTCGTGTGTCCTCACAAGGTGCAGGAGGCAACGCAGCTCCCTCGCCTCTTCCATGGGCATTGATCCCATTCGGTTATGCAGTGCCCTCATGACCTAATCACCTCCAAGTAGTGTCACCTCATAACACACTGGTGATAACGTATGTTTCAACATAAGAATTTTGGACAGCCATTAAACTGCGGAGGACCAGCATCATGCAGTGTAGAATAGGCAATAACTGATATTAATAAACTAGCTCAAGAATAAGAGTCTGTCCTAGGCTTATATGACTTGTAATGAGACCCATGGCTGGCTTATAGGCAGATTAATCTTTAAGCCAACTGCCAGAATTGAGACCAGCAAATAGTCTGTTAAATTCTGATGCCTCAAAGCAAAATAACATAGAAGCTAAGGACTTGATTATCCAAATTTCTTCTAGCTCAGTCTTCACTGTTTCTCAGTTCTTGAACCTTGACCCTGTTAGTAGTTCACTCCTACTGCTTTTGCAGCCCACTCACGCACTCTCAGTCCAGCTGTGCCTCGTGGTCTTAGTCACTGGGCTTTGATTATCCCAGTGACCCTTGTAGCTAACACACACCTCTTGTCTATGTTTGTGTTTTATTCTGTCATTGTACACCTGAGCAGATCAGTGGTCCTAGGCCAGGGATAATAAACATTCAGACCATATCTGATCACTGACTATATTTTTCTTTGCTTGTGACAAATAAATTAGAAAGTAGATCAAAAGTTTATTCGTCAGTACTTATTTTGGACATATTGACTATCAAGTCATAATTTATTTGCTTTATAATTTGTAATTGCTAACATTGGATATCAAAATCTGAGTTTGCATTTTTTCTTTTATGTTGTTTTATTTCTTGAAAATAAAGCTAACCTATGTGAGTAGGATACCAAATTTTCAACTAGCAAAAACAGTTTTCTGTTCTCTTCCTTGTCCCTATCTTCACTCAAGCTCTTTTTGTTTCCTAAGTAGATGGGACCAGATAATGATTATCAATACCAGAGAAAAGAAACGTGAATTTTAACTTACTTTGAAGTGGTGAATTACTAAATGTGATTTGGGTGAGCAGCTAGAAACTGACTAATATAGTCTGTCAAATTGTGGCAAATCATTAAAGTAATAGAACAAAAACCCACATGAGGCTGCTCCTTTAGTTACTCCTGGATAGGCCATATGATTGGGCCAAGGGGACATTAGCAAATGTTAAAAAAGCAACAGTTTAAAACAACTTGTAAGTGTGTGTCTCTGTGATTGTCCTCTGAAGAGGCAAAGCTAACCCCTTGGAGGATAAGAACAGAAGGAGCAAAGAGAAACCATTTCAACAGAGGTTCAATAGACTAAGCAGCCTCTAACCCATGTAGGTGCCAGAGGTCCACAACTTCAATTAGTGACTCTGAACTAGAAGGCTAGACCTAGTTGCCCCCAGTCCACAGTTCTGACTCACAAAATCATAAATAAATAAGATGGCTATTATGGGGAGTTGGGTGTAACAGTAGATAATACATGTTGTTTCCCTGAATTTCAGGTTAACACTTAGAGAAATTGAAATTATCTCTTTTTTTGTGATATGCCCTTGTTGAATCTTTATCTTGAGACCAGCTAACTTAGTTTTCAATGCTTTTCTTTGTAATTGTTTCTCTTTAAAGATTAATACATGAGAGGTTGAGGCAAAAAAGATAGCAAGTTTGAGCCCAGCCAAGGTCATTTAGCAACTTAGGTGGGCTGAGGATGTAACTCATTTCAACTCATTTCACTATAGGCTGAGGCCTATAGTGGCCTGTGAGGCTGGAGATACCTCAAAGGGCATGATAAGGCCACAGCTAAAGACACCTTGGCTCCAACACTAATTAAGTAGAGACTGTAGCTACAGGCATCTCACTCCTGCAGTCTCAATCCTACCATAAATGTTATCTTGGAGATGAGATGGTTCTCCTAAATTGGCTTAACCCTGGATTCAGTCCCAGGTAAACCTCCTCCCCCAAAACACAAAAGATAATATGGAAGTATTGTTTATAAGAAAATTTAGAAGAGTTTATAAGAAAAAGAATTTGACTAGTTTAAACCTTGTTCTGGTCTAACAGTAAATTAGTAGAAGACACTAAAGTGCTGTCTAGATCTTTTGACTCATATCAGTGTCTTTATTCACAAATTTCTCCAGTCATCAAATGCAAACATTGGTTTTTCTCTTCAGTGCAGTGACTACTTTTAAGATGGGCCAACGGGCTTAGGAAGATGCATCACACACTTAGACAAAGGCCAGGATTTTATGTCAAGTATTTTTAATTATCAATTTTTAAAACTTTTTATCTTAATTTTATAATTAGCAGTCAAGGCAGATGTCATTTTCATCTTACACAAAAGAATAATGAAGGTAGCCTTAAAGAGAATTCAG